ATAAATCCTAGACCCAACAAATGCCCATTATTATAATAGATATATAAGCGGAAAAATATAGAAGGGTGAATTTTTTCCACCGGACTGAGACTTCTTCCCTTGTTGAACCTATTGGGCTGAACCGTTCAGCCCAGCCAGATCCCCAATCCCCCACCTCAGCAGATCTCGCCACCATTTTATAAAAAATTCTTTCAAGCCTAAGTGGTACTTTTCTATCAAACAATAGGCCTGATGCAATTCTCCATTTCAACCATCCAACAAGAATTCTACTAATAATATCCCCATTTATATCACCATCACTAAAAAAAAGACCCGAGATATCTAAATGTTCACTTCTTTTAATGATTTGATCGCTCATATCTACAACCCGTCACTAGATCTACTACTACTAAAATTATATTCCATGTAATCTCATAGATGGCATTTTATACATGCTAACAAAATTCATTCGATTTGAATACACTTACCCCACGAAATTAGTGAATCATTTATCTCGTTATCTAAACCGTTCATTAAAAGAGTCCATTAAATTATTACTTCTATATGTTTGACAAGCAATCAGATAACATTGAAATTTTATGAAAGTTGGCATCATAATCATTTTTCTAGTACAATTTAGTTTAAATTGCCTTGATTTGCTAATTTGATGTTGTATGACTTTTATCAAAACTAATAGGAAGAAGATACAAAAATTTTAGTAAGCAGGTGCTAAGAACCCACTCACAAGGCATACAAGACTCAAAAGTTAACCAAAAAGTACAAGTATGCCCAATAAAAAAAGCTAGACAAATTCCCCAAAAAGATAAAAATGGTTTGGGCTTCTCGAGAGGAGCCTTCATGTTTGGGACAAAAATCCACCAGAGAGCTTAATCATGATGAGTGGGCTTTCTTCTTTTCCTAGAGAGGGAGTCGAGCACCAAACTGTGATGAAGGCTTCCACTTGAAACTAACAAAGCATCCTCCTATAAATTCACGAGTTCCTTTAGTCTTTTTTTCTTCTTCCTTGTTTTGTAAACTTGTCAATCATCTTCCGAGGGTTGTCCCAACTTATCACCGAGTTGTTCATCAAAGGGATTAGCTTCTACCTGTTGCAAAACTTGAACTTGGCACTCCACCAAGGTATAAGGGCCCTCACCATCAGCAATAATTGTTCTAATAGCATAAGAAGCATTATCTGACACAAAAATGAGAGTATCCTTGTTTTCAGCAACATGGGGGGTTGAGGTAGTGAAGGGTGCTCCTCTGGGGCAAAATCAGTAGCAATATCCTCTCTAGTTGCAATTTCCACCATTTCAGCATGTGGAATAGGTGCTTCTTCAGTAGTTGGGTGAGGCACTTGAGGTTGAGGTCTTAAATTAGGATGGCGCCTGAAACATTTTTCAAGTGTGTGTCCAAACATCTTACAATGGGTGTAATAGTATGGTCTTTGTTCCATGACAATCTGTTGCCAGTACCCATTATGTGCAATGCTAAGCCAAATTTCTTCAATATCAGGTAAAGTGATATCTCTCTCTACAATGATCATGACAACAGAAGGTCTGGTGAGATTAAAAGTGAGTACATCTAATTTCATTGGTCTCCCAAGCATGGACCCAATGGAATAAAGGACCTAATGGTTGAAAAGATGCAATTTAAGCTCAGCTAACTTCAACCATATTGGTACTGTAGGTGGTTCTTGGTTATGATCAAATTCAGGAGACCAATTGAGCAACTTCATAGTTTTTCCTTCAATGATGAGGAATTTCATGAAAAAAAATCCTAGCAAAGTCTTCGTCTGCATTCAAATGTATCATCACATGTCTCCCATCAAAGAGATCCACCTTTCATTGTCCTACAACTTTGAGATCCTAAAAACTTTGCAAATAACCTCCATTTTGAGATGCCCCAACTGAAATTTTCCAATGAGTGTGAATTTGAATTTTTCAACTAGAGTAGAGACTTAGTGGTCTGAAAAAATAAGAGCGGTCTACCACCCTTCCTACAAGCCCTCTTAACAAACAAACAGTCGGCTTTCCCTTCAAGAAAATCATGATAGATCTGAGGAAAAACGAAACATCACATGCTCGACAACCTTCTTAGAATCTAGACCCTTACCAAGTGCCTCAACAAAAGATTCTTTGCCTAGGTAGTGATTCGAGCGAGGAACAGTGGTCATTGAAGCAGAAGACAAAAAAAAGGAAAAAGGATGCCGCAGAGGGAAGCGTTGTCAAACAGAGAAGTTGTTGTGCGAAGAAGAGAAGGAGCAAACTGCGGGTGCAATCTAAGTCGAAGCCGATGAAATATTGCACATGGCTTTTGCGATGACGAAAGTCTTTCACCTGGTCGGACGAGTCCGGATCGAAGGATAGGAAGAAGGCAAGGCTCTGTGATGCCAAAGCTTCGTGTGTGAGCTAGGGTGACGACGAACTAGCTACGACACTCCCCCTTCCCTTGTTCGAACGGGACGAGGCTTCGTGAGAGAGCTGGGTGGCGAAGAAACTGCTGCAACGCTCCCCTTCCCTTCTTCTTTGAGTACGATGAGGCAACGAACATGCTTCATTCTCGTTTCGGCGTAAAGATATCGAGTGCTACTCGAGTCGCCATAGAATCACCACTAGAGCAAGCTCTAGCAGGGCAAAGCCCATCGTATTATATATATATATATATAAAGCTCAAGGGCAATTATATTAAGGAGAAAGAGGTACAGATGAGTTGTATGAGTGGACCTAAATAGGCACCCAACCCATACGGTACAACACACAAAAAAATAAAAGAAGAAAATTAAAAACCCAAAAGTAGATGGTACATAAAGATCAACCAGGTCGACCCACTTTAGTTCTGCCTCTGCCTCTAGTTCTCGGAAAGGAACCAGCTAACAGATTGGTGAGTAGCGTGTCATTGTCCGAAGTAACCAGAGTATCATCCATTAGATTCCTTAGCTCAAGTAGATCACCATTCTTCTTCTTCCTCCTGGAAGTGTAGACCCGTCATTCCTCATCCGAAGATTGTTGCTCATTCGGATGAGGTGGTAGTGCTGCAGTTGAAAGATTGCCAACAGTTGTGCCAACAAGTGTATGTGAGGTAAGAATTGTCGCCTCTACCCCTAATACTTCCTGAAAATGGGGAGCTGCAAGGTTCTCCTGATTATCAGTCCGTGTAGGTAGGGGTCCTTCATTATTATTTTCAGTAGGGTTTGAAAGCGTAGGTTGTTAAGTATGGAGAGAGAGAGAGAGAGAGAGAGAGAGAGAGAGCAATCATATGTTAACACATATTTGTGTTCTATAATTGATATTTCATGTCTCATCCTAAAAAATTCGTTAACAGTGTGATCATATCTGTTGCTAAGAAAAGGAGGAATAGGAAAAATTAAATATATTAGCATAGGAGCATCGATTAGACAAGTCAAAAGCACAACAAATAACAAAAACACCACTTTACCTAATGCTTTAAAAAGAAGTAAACAGAATTATGCATAATAAATATAACAAAAAAACTTAAATGTTCCTTTAACTAGAAGCATAAAAAAAAGTTTAGATAAAAAACTACACACTTTGAGACATGAAGAGTGAGAAATAAATAACTAAGATATAACCATGTGCGGCAAAATACGATGTTAAAAAGTGCAAAGAACTACGAAGAAGTGAGAAAAGGCTATGCTAAGACAAGCAAAAGGGTGTAGTGCTTCTTGAAGAAGGGTTAAAAAACTACAGTTTGATGACATTGGAATGTATGGCAGCAGGAAGAAAATGCTTCAATAAAGCTGATACCAAATGAAGTCGAAAAAAATAAAAAGAAAAATAGGGTAGATCAAAATAAGATGGATAGATGTACCAAAAAAAGACAAATAAAAGGTTTAACACATTATGTAAGTCTCGATAATTCTTAGACGAAGCATTCACTAAAAAGTAGCTCAAATTGTGATAAGGTAATGATGATAATGCATTAAAGAAAAGAAGACCCCATTGTGCTTCACACTTTGAGCAACTAAAGAGTAAATAAACAGTAGTCATGACCATAATTGTAGCCATTAGACTGGTATTCCTAGTAGTGATGTAGGTTCAACAGTCATAATTATAACCATGGGTGATCTAGGTCATCCTTGTCAGCACCATTGCCCAAAACAAGTCCAAACTCGGCAAGATTAGTTATCAAATTTATTATTTGTCTTGTGATAAAAGAGGATATACTGGACATTTAGATAAATACCTTCTCTCTTTTTCTTTTTTTTATAAACATGCTTTTCTTTCATTCATCATCAAAGAGCTTCATACAAGGGGAAAAGGCATATATGGCTGCTGTTAGGGCAATTCACACAAATGAGGAAAAGATATTCATCAAAATGCCTCATCTATCCCAAAACAAGTCCAAACTCAGCAAAATTAGTTATCAAATTTATTATTTGTCTTGTGATAAAAGAGGATATACTGGACATTTAGATAAATACCTTCACCCTTTTTCTTTTTTTTATAAACATGCTTTTCTTTCATTCATCATCAAAGAGCTCCATACAAGGGGAAAAGGCATATAAGGCTGCTGTTAGGGCAATTCACACAAATGAGGAAAATATATTCATCAAAATGCCTCATCTATCCAATCTCATGATGAAAAGAAAAAACACATAGACGCAGATGAGGGCCACTTAGACAAATGAGGCAAAGACATTTGTCTAAATGCCTAATGTATCCTCTTCATGATAAAACACATAGACATTACATGTAATAGCTAATCCTGTTGTGTTTGGAGTCGATTTATGTAATGAAGTTAATGAATTGACAAACTAATTTGGCAATCACCAAGTGGATGCATGCATGTGGCCAGAATTCAAGGGCCAACTGCAATGTATATGCAATTAGCATACTCATTTTTAATAAGCCAAGATCGCATACAATTCCAAGCTTTAACGAAAACAATATGGAGATGCTAATCAAATGACAAAGCAGAACTGATAATTCACAGTTTAAGAATGTCATTGGCACAAATAGTAAAATGCTACAACAAGAAACTGAAAGAAGATAGCATACTTGGCATGTGGTTCACTTGCATAACGCATCATTGCAGGAATTAACTTCCTTGGATTAAGTTTGTCTGTAGTCATCCACGATTCAACGGTCTCATATGCATCAAGCATGATCAGATCAGGAGCAAATTTGTACTACAACAACAAAAAAAAAATGATCATTCAAACAATTAATGAGACTATCAGTATAATATATGATTCTCGCACACAACCCTGCTAATCTATGTATTATTTATGAATATAAAGCAAATACATAATTCACATATGAGTATGTATAGAACGTGTATACTTCTAATGTATGTTCCAAAAAGTGGACAAGATTAAAGCATCAATAGAGCAATCTGTAAGATGAACAAAAATACAATGAAAATTGGCGTATGAGGTTAATACCTGAAGATCAACAAGAACATTAGGTCTCTGGAGAACCTCAAGTGCTTTCTTTATTTCCCCTTGCTAAACCCATTCAGTAAAAGAGATATCAGTTAAATATAGAAAACTCTATGGGAAAGGTCAAGTAAGCGAGTCAAATAATTACTTATTATTTCTGCAGTCAAAAGGCTGTATATTGCATGACGAAAGTTTACTTGCTATTAGAGTAGCAGAGATTTAATGAACAAGCTAAGAATTAAAAAAGCAGGTCCTGAGACAAACGAGAGCATATCCCAGGTCAACGACTAGGCTTGGAATTCAAACACAAGAAACACCTACTTTGACAGCAATATCATGTATGTTTCGTGGATTTGATCCCACAATATACAAGGAAAGGGAAATGGTCAGTTTCTAATAAATATCACAATATTAAAAAAAACCAGCTTAAATAAACAGTAAAAGCACTCAAGTAAAAAAGTAGCTGCCAAAATACTTTAAGCATTACAAACTGATGCTCATCTTTAAACAATTAAGAAAACAAAGCATGATAAGATTTAAACCTGAAAACGTAATATATACATTAATACAAATGTGCTAATATTTCCAATAGTAGTAAGAACGACAGTAAAATGTGTTCTTGGGTGATGCAGGGCTGAGGAGGCCAGCTAGCTGAACCAGCAAAACCAGCCCAAAGATTGCAGGTCAAGTTCCCTGCTAGATCGAGCAGCATTTAGAAAGGGTGGCTCAGCCGCCAGCTCCTTCCCCTTTTCCTATTTTGTTTTTTGCCCATTTAGAGTCCTTTTGTTTGCTGCTTGAGAGAATTAGGGTTAAGTTTTGTTTGATTGTTGTTTCAGATTCTCCTTACAGTCTCCTTCTCCCTTGCTAGGGCGGTATTCGACGACGGGTGGTGCTTCGACTGTATTTTGCTCCTAGGTGGTTCTGTATCCTCTCCTATTCTCCTTCCTATCCCTTCTACTTCCCCCTCACATAGCCGCCGGCCACCCCTACCCCTACCCTTCACATTGGCCCGAAGGCCCATTTCGTCGCAACAAAGCTTGCTGTCCAACCCATCCAGCCGCCAACCAGCATATGTCAGCTCTTTACCAGCAGTAGTTCTTTCTGTCCACCGATCAGCACCCTGCTTTCAGCCGCCCCCTTACCAGCAGCCTTCTTTTCCATTCCACTCCAGTCCTCAAACCGCCCACTAAATCCTCTTCCCAACCTACCGTACAGCCACCAACGCTTCCCCTTGCTGCTTTGCCGACGCCATCACCGCCTACGAATCTTCTCATCTGGCCCTAGCCAGAGCTTGTTCTTGTTGTGTCGTATTTCCATTTTAAGTTGTGTTGTAATCCATATCCATTTGTTTCAGATAGTTTGTTCATCGTTTCCCCTTTTTTGAACTAGTTCCGATCTCATTGGGATTGTGTTTTATTATATTAGTAAATAAACAAATAAATTTCAAGGGTCATCTAAATAAATGTAATTTAGTTGCTTTCCAGCCAGTATATGGTGGCTTGGATGGAACGTAAAAAGGATTTGGAATACTAACAGAATCAAAACCTTGGGCAATTTTATGGTACCAGAAGTTTCAGTTCAACTTTTGGCTTTCCTTTTCAGAAGATATTATTCATCATTACCATCCAAGGTATTTGCAGTTGGCCAGCGTCAAAAAATTGACAAAAAAATGAGCTTAAATTTTAAATCCAGCTCGGCTCATCAAATTTATATATTTTTATAAAATGAAAAAACAAGAATTAAGAAAATAAATTTTTCATAGAGTTGAGGATGTGCACCTGCTATTTTTATGTAATGAACTATGCAAAAGTATACATATCAATGAGTTGTGCTATTGTGTACTTTTGTAATAAATGTAATGCAAAAACCATAAATTTGGAGCTAGAAAAAGCCTCTAAAACTGAACGCAAGCTTCAGCTTGGTGGCTTGGATGGAACGTAAATGTGATTTGAAATGCTAACAGAATCAAAACTCAGGCAATTTTTATGGTACCGGAAGTTTCAGTTCAACTTTTGGCTTCCTTTCAAGAAGATATTATTCATCATCACCATCCAAACTACTTGCAGTTGGTCAGCGCCAAAAATTTATAAGAAAATGCGCTTAAATTCTAAAACTGAACGCAAGCTTCAGCATGGTACCAAGGAGTTGTTCAAGTGACATTATTCTTATGCTTCCAACAGACAGCAAAGGTATAAATCACCTTGGAAAAAACAGATAAGCCTAGTGACAGGTAATTTGATGGGACGGCAAAATGCAGCAGCATGATAGCTTAGTGATCCACTAACATGCAAGCCATACATCTATTTAGGGAAGGAAACAACTAATCAATGAAATTAGAGAAAACTGGCACAGTTATTCTTGAAACAGACCAAAAATTGAGAATCCCAACCAAAATAAACATGAACGATTTAAAGGTTAATCAATGAACTTCAGAAACTGAAACAACTTCTTTTCACAATTGAGCTTTTATTTTATTTCCAAATGTTCAACTGAATTTTAACAACAAAACACAACCAAAAAAAATAAAATAAAATGATTCAGGCATATCAAAATTCCATTGTGAACGAGCTGTATTTTTGTTTCAATGGCAGAATCGATCATTTTCAGCAGAACTTTTATACCTTGGTTCTTTTACTAAGAATAAACTATTTTAAGAAGTAAATAATAAGCTTCTAGTTGTGAGTAATATATTTCTTATCAAACTATTTCGGAATGCTATGATGCAAGAAAACTAAAATAAACATGAATTTAAGAAAAAAAACAATGTAATAGGATGCAAGAAAGCTAACTAGATGAGTAATACAACTTCCAGTATGATAACATATACTAAAAAAAAACAAAAAAATGTTTTCAAGAATTTCAAATTACAAATTTAACAATGAAATGAATCTATAGGAGCCATTTATCTTATTAATTTACTATTTGTTTTTTATTTTATTTTATTTTTGGACATATGATCAGAGCTCTATATGAAACAAACAGAAGGAAACTTATACCTGAATGTAATGATGAATTACAATTTCATAATGTTCCTTTAGAGCAGCAAAGAAGACTAGCTCATCAACTCTGCCATAACTGCAGCAGATTTTTGCTTAGTTAATCCGTTTAGCTCCTAATTAAAAGCATTTCAGAAGAATAAAAAAATCATACAGAATGAAATTCATAATTTTAGCAATGTCGGAATAAATGAAGAAATGGTTTTGATGAAAAGGCATGAGGACAAGAAAGGACCCATGATTTTTAGACCCTTGCAGGCGTTCAACTAATTAAAAGTTAGGTCATCCGTCATGAGTACTAAGAAGATAAAGGAGAAAGAAATGGTAAAATCAGCATAACGAGTGTACCACATTAATTCTTTGTAGCCGATGGATGTCTTCCATAAGAAAAAAGTTAACAAGGAGGCAGAATAAAAAAAATATTCATAAGAAAATAATACTACAGGTAAACAAACAATGCAAGATTATTTCATACCCATCAAAATTCCATAATGAAATCCATAGATTAATTCTTGAAGACCTTTCAAAATTGATTTTCATATCAAGGGTTGCTAGACAGTGGGGATCAATCAAGAAAGGACAATAAAGGAGAGTGAAAAGATGATGGTGATTGAGAAATTAGAGCACTCGGTGACTTGACAAACAAAAACCAGCGGTGTATGACTTTGAACATCCAGAAGTAATCAACACCTAAATCCGATCAAGTTTATAGGCACGCCACCTAAAAAAACAAATGATATAGCAATCCGGCAAGAAGGAGCCCGAGAAAATGGCCTTTATAGTATAAATCAAAACCTAAAAATGTTCAAAGAAAATTTTAGCAATATATTTAAATGTATGACACCAAATATCATAATAATAACCTAAATAAAGAAACAAATAATCATATAATAGACCGAACGAGTTGAGTCTCATGACTCGGACAAGAGCAAGGAATTAACCAACACAGAAGCAGACAGTCGGACTGTGGAAAGAAATTTTCTGTTATTTTATTTCTATCACTAACAGTTTAATATTCAATTATACAAGAAAGAGCCGCCAAAGAAACAAATTTAATTAATAAGTTGAAGTTTTTAACTTTCTGGTTGTTGTTCTCGTCTCCTGTACACATTCGCTCCCCTTATATACATCTTATTCAAAAGCTAAAAACCTAAAAAAAATATTAAAACCAACATAATGAGTTATCTAAAGATAACCCTGAAGTGATCACACTTATAAACAATAATAACCCAAAAAAGAGAAAATAATATGTATGTTGATCATCTATATTTTTATGAGAAATCTTATAATATGCTAATGTATGTATCAATAAACTTTACTCAATGAAAATACTCTATATTTTTACATAAATTAACTTTACATTTATTTTTACTTTAAACTCTTAACATATACATTTATCTGTGTAAGGAGCACTATCAAAACATTACCTAACACACCCCTTGTAATGCCGTGTTATTTGATTACCGAGGGAGAAATCGAAAGTGTAGAACAATGTGGTGGAAGAAGTGATGAGTCAGATAGTTGTAGAGGGGGAGAAAAAACAAGGGGATAGAAACCGAAAAGAAAGGGAGAGGAAATGAGGGGATCGAAAACCAACGAACATGTTCACCCTATAAATTGAACTGAGAGGCGGGATCTCTTATTCATGTTGTCAGAGAGCACAGAAGGAGGATCGTAGCTTTGCGTCGCTTTATCGAGCCGAGTCTAAGAGAAAGACGAAGGAGGAGCTTCCTTGCATGCATAAGAATATCCACCGTGCCCTAGCCGAGCGTCAAAGAAGAGAAATGGAGGGTGAAGGAGAAAAACGAGTTTTTCCTGTGGGAGGAAAAAGGACGGGCAGCTCCCGTGCGATCAAAGGAGGAAGGAGACCAACCGCTAGGTTTAGGGCTGATTGAGGTAATGTTTATTGGTTTAAGAATAATATATATATATATATATATATATATAAAACTATATATATATATATATATATGTAATGGCGTCGTCTTCCTCGATATTGCTCTGCTAAGGTTTCTCCATTATGGCGAATCTGGTTTCTGCTCCACTGCTCGTGCTCGATCTCCTTTCGTTTTCGTATGTTTCGCGCATCATCATCCTTGCGACTCGTCTTCTGCGACGTCTTTTGCAGAAGTGCGTCTGTGAGGCAGGCTGAAGGGCTCGCGATGTAGGCTCGTCTTCGGCGGTGTCGTGCGTGTCTTTGCGGGATCGTCTCGCTGAAGTGTCTGCGAGTCCTCCACAGCGTCGTCTGTTCTGCGGCGTCCTCTGTGTGAATTTTTCCGCATATACGGGCTGAAGGATCGATGCTTATTTTGATGGTGCTTCATTCTTCTTCGGTTGATCCTGACAAAGCCTCATTCGCCCACGTGGTGAATAATTATCTTGTGGAGTCTATTGTTATCTTCCCCTCAAGCTACAACGAATGTCGTGATGGTACAAGTGTCCGCCCCTTTATTAAGAAGATAAGTAGGAAAAGTGGAAAAGCATCACTCTTTTTCTCTTACTCATAAATTTCAACCCTAACTGAGAAATTAAGTTCGCTCTCATTGAGAAATTTCAGTGGAAGCACCCACCTATGAAAGTTATCAGAAAAAGTTTTGACGATCTCAAAATTGTATGCAAGTAGAAAGCAGGACTCTTTAATGAGAGACATGTGTTAATTCAGTTAACCCTGGCCAAGTACTACGCTCGGATTTTCTCTAAAAGATATCTTAACATTGCAGGTAAGTCGATGAAGTTACTCAAGTGGTCTCATGATTTTGACTCAAATCATGAGTCTCCTACTGTTCCGATATGGATTAGTTTACTTGGTATCAAGTTACATTTCTTTAATCATCAGGTTCTCTATTCTATTGGGAACATATTTGGGGATCCTATGAAGCTAGATCTGCCCACCTTTAACCTAACCAGACCTTCTGTAGCCATAATATTTGAGGAAAGTGATGTTACCTTACCTGATATTACTGAAGTCTGCTGGGTACAACTCACAATGGATATTGACAACAAATTGTCATGGAACAAAAACATTTTAAACATGACCCTTTTTATTGTACCCACTGTAAAATGTTTGGGCATATCCTTGATAAATGTCACAGGCTCCATTCAAATTTGAAAATCAAAGCTCAAGTAAACAAGGAGTTAACCCCATTGCCATGGACACATCTACCCCATTGCCATGGACACATCTGCTCAACCTGTGGAGAAAGTTCCCACAAGATAGGATTTGGTGTCTGATTTGTCTGTGGATGTACCCACTGTAAAATGTTTGGGCATATCCTTGATAAATGTCACAGGCTCCATTCAAATTTGAAAATCAAAGCTCAAGTAAACAAGGAGGAGTTAACCCCATTGCCATGGACACATCTACCCCATTGCCATGGACACATCTGCTCAACCTGTGGAGAAAGTTCCCCCCTTGCCAATAGTGCTTTTGTTTTTGTGACTGATGTGATGTCGGATAGCCCAGTTGGGCAACCTACACCTTCAAACCTTATTGATAACATTATTGAAGGATCCTTAGATAAAAAGGATATTGCTCAGACTGGTAATCAGAAGATCCTTGCAGCTCCTCTTCTTCAGAAAATATCTGGTGTAGAGGCGGCAACTCATACTTCACATACAGTAGAACCTATTGTGGAACCTATTAATATTACAACGGTTGGTAATCTCTCTACTACGGTTTTACCACCTCATCTGAGCGATTAATCTTCGGATGGGAATGACAAGTTTACAATCTAAGAGGAAGAAGAAGAATGAATACCTACTTGAGCTCAGCATCTAATGGATGATACTTTGGTCACTTCGGGTAATGATACACACCTCACCAATTTATTAGTTGGCTCTCTTTGGAGAACCAGAGGCAGAGACAAGACTAAATTAGGGTATCCCTAATTATATGTATCTTTTCTATTTTCGGAAACTTCGGTGCGTTGTATCGTATGAGTTATGTGCCTTTTTTGTATCCACTCATACAACATGTTGTATCTTTTCCTTTTAATATATTACCAATAATTAAAAAAAAGAATTAATTATGTGGGATTACATAAAGTAAAATATGAAAATTTTATACATAATATTTAAAAGTTAATGTATAATTGAAATAATAGTTCATATATTATGTTTATGTCAAGCTTTCAATTTCAGAAGAGTCGAAGTTTAGCCGAAGAACAAATTAATCGGCATCGAAATAAATATTTATAATTTTAATATATAGCAATAATTTATTTTTTCTCATTGCAGTTAATGATACTTGCACAAGTTTTAACACTGTCATTGTCGGTTCCAAACCCGGATGTGAAAAGTGGAGCGTTGCGTTATGTAGTCGACAACTAGCGTAAAACTTGTCGAAAAAAATCATGACATGAATCCTTATGATCTTTGTGTAAGTGAAAGGGTGTCCCCTGGAAACGATGTCTTGTATAGCCTGAATACAGTGAAAAATGTGCAAGGGTCTCTACACCGACGCCCGGGTGTAGTGTCAAATAAGTAAAAGTTCCCACATTACGCACGGATGCGGATAAAGAAGTTAGTTCATAAAACTAATGAAATTAATATTATGATAGGATCTTGGAATATAGGTACTCTTAATAGTAAATTAACGAAATTAGTTAATATTATGATTCACAGAAAGATTAATATCTGTGTTCAAGAAACTAAAAGGGTTGAAGAAAAGGCTAAGGAGAATGATAACTTAGCTTTTAAACTTTGGTATTCAGATAAGAGTCGCATTAGAAACGGGGTAGGTGTAATTATAGATAAGAGTTTGAAATATAATATTGTAAAAATTAATAGGGTTGGAGATAGAATTATAGCTCTTAAATTATTGTTGATACTAAAATTTTTAATATTATAAGCGTTTATGCTCCTCAAGTAAGTTTAGATATAAGGTTTAAAGATAAATTCTAGAATGACTTAGAAGACTTAATACAAATGATACCTCTTGAAGAAAGAATTTTTATTGAAGGAGATATAAACGGACATGTTAGTAGAGTGGTAGAAGATTTTAGAAATATTCATGGTGGCTACCGTTTTGGAGTGACTAATGAAGAAGATAGAGCTATTTTAGATTTTTCTTTAACGTAC